AATTGACACCCACCAGACGTCAATTTCAATTTACGTTTGCCTTCTAACGATCAAAAGGTGGCAAATGTTAGATGTGAAATAGCAGGTTTATCCCGTTTTACCACAAAACCACTTTCAAAAGTATTGACATCTATAATAATGGCTGTTAAAGAGGGTATTCAAAAATACTGTGACAAAATATATTCTCGTAGTGGTATAAATCAAATGTGGATATTGAAAAATTCCAAAGAATTACTTGATGGTTTGCACTCTAGATCCCTTGCTTCAGTCCCATCTATTCAAACGTTTGACTTTTCTACTTTGTACACTAAAATTCCCCATAGTAAATTAAAAGCCCGGTTGAAAGACATTATTCACAGTGTCTTTTCCTCTAAATCAGGTACTGCTAGATATCAATATTTAGTTGTAAATTACAATTCCACATATTTCGTTAAGAATCACAGTGATTCCAAAAACAAATTCACGGCCATCAAGATAATTCAGATGTTGGATTTTTTAATTGATAACATCTTTGTTGAATTTGGAGGGGAAATATATCAGCAAGTGGTTGGCATCCCCATGGGCACCAACTGTGCACCTTTGCTTGCTGATCTGTTTCTCTATTCGTACGAAGCCGATTACATACAGACGCTCGTAAAAAGTAATAAACGATCCTAAATTTAGTGATTACGTAGAATTCATATATCCTGATGAGCTCGAAATTAAAAACGCCACTGACAGTGACAATTACGCTTCCTACTTGGATCTGCGTCTCGATTTTGACAATTGCCATAAACTGGGTGTTAAATTGTACGGTAAACGTGATGACTTTGACTTTCCGATTGTTAACTTTCCATTTATTAGTAGTAACATTCCAATATCACCAGCTTATGGAGTGTTTGTGTCTCAGCTAATTCATTACGCGAGAGCTTGTTCCTTTTATTCTGATTTTTTAAGTAGATCGAGGCATTTGACATCTAAGCTTCACCTATAAGGATACATGCGCACTAAACTTATTAAAACCTTTAAAAAGTTTTATGGCCGTCGTATTGATTTGATTGATAAATATAACGTGTCTCTCTCGGCTATTATTCTAGATATATTTAATTGACACGTATACTATTACTATCTCCCTGATAATGTCTACTACATCGTTAACACAGTTTACCGACATTTCGCCTAATAGTTTGGATGCAGCTATGGCGGGTGTGGCGCCAGGCAGGGTAAGCTTACTCTTCCGGACACCTGTTACCACTGTTTGTCGTGTATTTTGTACACGGGGCGCAGTCCATTTGCTGATTACACTATTTTGCTTGAATACACTATTTTGCCTATAACGTTTTTTAGGACTTCGAATTCTGTCAAATGGTTTCGATTGTTCGTACTTGGTTTTATTTTATATTTATGTTAATTACATGTTAATAGTTATTCCCGGATAATGTAAGATGATAAGTTTGCCTCTGAGCGATTAAAAGGTTTAATTTATTAGTCACGCTTACGTGTATATACTTTCGGAGAATACAAGTGGAGCTAAATTAATCTTAGGAATTAATAAGGATGCCTTCATGATCTCTATGCTCGAACACATAATATACCCTATAATAAAACCATCAGGCACAACTATTGCCTTTTAAGAACCTAATGGTTGGCAGACGACGACATAATATGCCCACAGTTAAAGATCCTTTCTAAGAGCTAAATCTGCCTATTATAGGTCTTTATTTTGGCTTTAAATCCTACATAAACTATTTGTTAGCCTATAACCAACTCTAGATCTTGGGGTCTCGAGCCCAGTTGGGGTCGCATAGCACTCTAAACCTTTTGAACAAATGCTATGTTTTCATGAAAAGCATATACGAGGGCTGAATGAAAAGTTCTAAGCCTGAAAAGGATAGATGATTGGGTTGAAACAACGTTTTGCCACCAAGTACCATCATTGAATGGATCATTGACATAAGACCAGCAACTGTGTGTTATTATTGTACCAGACCATCTTGTTTACCTACCCATTGAAATCACCAGAAATGGTCAAACTGTTCGCAGGGCATCACGTACCTGCAACTGAACGTACTAATCTCAACACATATACATATCGACATGGTCTCCACTTCAGGGGATGATGCCCCTGCCTTTTCCATAGTAAAGAAGTGTTCTGTGGAATTCAAGCATGGCAGAGTGAGTCTGGACTATGACCCGCTTCCTGGAAGGCCATTAACAGCCAACCATGGCTGATCGACGATTGACAACTCGACATTTTGTCAGTGTTATGGGCATCTCTCTTGAGAGGATTGGGCACATAATCGCCAGCGACGGAATGATGTCCCTTCCTTTTCTACAGTAAAGAAGTGGGCTGTGGAATTTAAGCGTACCAGAGAGAGCCTTGACGATTACTCGCGACATGAATGCCATCAACTGCATCCATTCAATAAAACATTACGTGTTTAAGCACATTGTCGCCAATGAGTTAGGAATGACAAAAGTTTCTGCAAGTTGAAGCAGATCCTGGTAATATTTATAGCCGGTCGTCATTTTCCTAATAAAGCTGTGAATGACTTGTTTAGGGCGGCTGAAGAAAATTTCTTCCATGCCTTGCAACATCGTTGGCAAAAGTGTGTGCCCCTCGAAGGGGACTATAGAGAAAATAAGCGCAATATACGTCCATACGTCCACATTACTGCTTTGATTGATATGGTACCTTTTAAAATGCAGAGCATGAAATATGAAATAGCTGCACTGACTATAATATAACAAGAAGCAAAGAAGGCTAGCCGCTGGGTTTGTTTTACAATCCAGAGACTAAATATTAACAAAAGTGGGTGTGACACCGCCCCTGGGGGTTGGGTCATGCACCAAAAGAAATAGAAGCTGTCTTTGCGGTATAGGGAATACATATGTAAAGTTCCAAGAGGATCCATTCAGAATTGCAGCCTGTAGACGATAAACACAAAAATTAGGTGTGGCTCTGCCCCTGGGTGTTGGATTTGGAACAATACAAATAGGTACAACCCTGTTACTGAAAAAGATTGATATGCTGAATTTGAACAAAATCTGTTAATAAATGCAACCTGTAGAGTATTTACAGACAAACATTTAACAAAACAATTGAGTATGATACTTCACCCCTGGGTGTCGGGACATGCACCAAAATAAATAGTTGCTATCCTTACGGTATAAGGCAGTGGTTCTCAACCAGTGTGCCGCGAAATTTTGAACGGCACACTAAGAAAATACGAAAACCACGTGATCATAATTTAGGATTCACTGGGGTTTACTGACAAGTTCATCTAGACCGGAGGCTCAGGCCAGGTGGGGGGGTCCACCAAATGGGAACAAAACCAGACCCAACTTTTTTAGAGTAAAATTTTGTGTAGAATACCATGCCGAGTGGTAATCAGTCCGCCGCTGGGTCGTTTTCAAGATATTCGGGGTCAAATGAGTTCATTTGTTTTGAAAGTGAATGCGCAGTCATTCTTGTATTTTGAAAAGAGGCCGAAAATGATCGAAAGGAATCACACTATCAATAAAAATGTAAACTTGCTAAATTCACCCTTAGTCTTAGTGACCCTGGAGATCAAAAGGTGAAATTTACCGTTTTTGCACTTGGAAGATTTAAAGCAATAAAATGTCAACGTAAAATATTGAAACTAAAGCGAAATCTGTTCTAATTAATAATAGGAACATTTAAAATTTTACTTTGGAACGTCGAAAATGATCTTGCATAACAGAACCAACACACTTAGAAACCTGTTTCAGCTTATCTTCATTATATCTCTAATAACAAGTATCGTTGTTACGATAATAAACAATCTATGCCACATCTTGTCAAAACTTACAGTGATAACAGCGTCCAGAAAAAAGTATTATAGCAAGAACAGCGAGCTATGTATCTAAATCTTACAAAATGGCTCATTAAGTATAATCAGCGGTTTCCATTGCAAGATACGCCCACATTTTGCAAGAGATGGATATTGAACAAGGTAGAACAAAAACGCAGATTTTTTGTACAATCAATAGGCCATAATCCAGGAAGTTATAGTCTGATATGCACCAATATCGAACGGAACCGAGATCTTTGAGACATAAACATACCTTTTAATTTTCATCAAAACTTGCTACAAATTGTGACCTCTAAAGATTTCACAACTTTGTTATTACATATTTTTACAATCTTTGCGTTCAAGCTGCGGCCATTTTGTCGGGCAGTTTCGGTTCGGTCCAATGTTTGCGAAATTCAGACTCAACCACCATCAGGATGTAACGTTGAAATGTTTAAACGATTTTTAAAACCGGATGAAAATTGTGACCTCTAGAAGGTCCACAAGCTAAAATCGAGATTTTTTCGTACAATCAGGGGCCATAATCCAGGAAGTTACGGTCTGATACGCGCGAATATCGAAAGCAACCTAGATCGTGGAGATATAAACACACGTTTTAAGTTTCATCAAAATCTATCAAAACTGTGACCACTAGAGGGTCCACAACCTTGGATATTATAACACTATTTCCTTACAGGATGTGGCCATTTTGGGCCAGATTTTCACGAAATTCGAACTCAACCATCATTATGGTGGAACGGTGATATTTTCGAACTTTTTTTTTTTTTTTTAAATTTGATAAAAAAAAATATATGACCTGTTAAGGGACCACAAGCTCAAAATGAGATTTTTCATACAATCTGGTGTCATAATCCAGGAAGTTACGGTCCGATATGCGCGAATATCGAACGGATCCGCGATCCTTGGATTATATACATACAATTCAAGATTCATCAACTTTGGATACAAATTTTCACCTTCACGGTGTCCACAAGCTAAAAACGTCGTTTTTCGTATGCGTACCATTATCAAAAACGTCGTTTTTTCGAAAGGAACCGAGGTCATTGGGATAGAAACGTCCACATGAAAATGTGTGCGTATAAAAACTAATTTAAAATGACTCTAAAGCTGATGTGTGATAAAACAGTTGACAGATGTTATTACTGTGTTAACAATATTCAATTTGAATCGTTGTTTACTTTAGCCCAAAGTTGTTAACATGCACGATTTTAATTAAAATTTACGTATATATATTCTGCATGAAGTGGACGATTTGGTTATATACCATAGCGTATGCCATTGCTGACTATCACTATGATCTTGAAGGTAAGTGTCAAGGGCAATCGTTAGAGTCAGATACATTTTATTATCAAATTCAATGTTTCGTGCATGATTAATCCATTACTGAAAATCAGACGTTTTAACAAAATCACATATTTTTAAATATATTAAATATTATATTGCGCAATGGATAATTTCTTGTCGGATTTATTGGTGACGGACCCATGTTCACTATGGCGTAATTTTCCTATCGCATATTGTATAGTTCTCTTGCGGGAGCTTTTTTGGCAACCCAATCTGTTCACAACGCGCCAAAATTTTGTAGACTAAAGAATAGGGGTCTCTCAAAGTGGGAGGTTGGATCGTAAGGTATGTCATTGAGTCAAATCGGGTGGTTTTGATTCACCGCTTGTACGTGGCAAGGAGTAGGGTGGCCTGTCCCAACTTCCTAGGTTTTCTCCATGTGACCTATATGTTAGTCCCGAAATGACCCAGTGTGATGAGTGGACGTTAAACTCCAGTTATCTTTCTCTCTCTATATATATATATAATGATATTAAGGGTTGATTATGATAAATAGAATTGAAGCAAATTTAGAGCAAAATGCGCTGAAAACTGCAGAGTTTATCGGGAGCTTCCTGGGATCCCGAAAGTACGAACGCTATAATAAGGACCAAAACCGAAATCAAAACGGCAAGACGGTGGAATTTGAGGATTTATAACTACCCTTCGCACACACTGTCACTGAGACTTATGATACACGGGATTGAAAATCCGCAATACGGGACAAAGGTATGAAATATTATTTTCATCCTGAATCACAATTTGTGCTCAGCCTTGAAATGTTTTTAAAAGTTTGATATCATCCTTTGTTGTGTTATCTTTATTTAAAAAGGCATTATGTAAGAGCTAAATCTACTTTTTGGAGGTCTTTCTTGTGGCCTCAAGGGAGCTAAATCGCTAATATTTGGGACCTAGAAATTGACATAAATGTGTAGCAACGCATATAAATGTATTGAAATGAAATGGAGTTGAACGTCCTACTGTTCTGCTCCTAACCTGGGCTAATGAAGACGGGCATACGCCATACAGTGTGATATGAGGGTAATTTTGCCCGGACAGCGGCACTACGGCCTACTCTTATATCGAATTCCAACTTCCAAGGGATCTTTTACGTGCATGCCAATGTGTACACGGGACCTCGGTTTTGTCCCATCCGAACGACTAGACAGCTTTCCTTGTCAGGCCCTCCGTCCTGCATCACTCACAAGGGGGAACCACGCCTGAGCAACGCATATAATAGTGTAATATGAATGTATATAAACTGACTCACATTCAATGAATGTATATAAACTAATTTACATTCAATCGTTTTTGTTTTAACTTTAATTGGTCGAAATACGCGAGAAGTCTCAATCGAATGGCCCCGTCTTCATTAGCCCAGGTTAGGAGCTGAACAGTAGGACGTTAAACCCCATTTCATTTCAATCGAATGGCAATCTCTAGCTTCTGGCTATTCCAGTCTACACCGTTAGTATTTATTGCGAATGCTCTCCAGATAAGTATATGGCATCACCGTTTGACATGATTTGTGGAATATATCTAGCCTGGTTCTTCGAGTCCCGTGTTACAAATGGCACTGAAACGCAGTATGGTATATGATTCGTGTATGGTAAAATGTTTATTTTGTCTTAAATATTGGATATCAGAAGTCCATCTTTTCCCGGTAAGATCAAAAAATCAATGCTGATTGAAATTGACAAATGTTTATTTTGTCTTAAATATTGGATATCAGAAGTCCATCTTTTCCCGGTAAGATCAAAAAATCAATGCTGATTGAAATTGTCAAATGTTATATAAATTGTGGATGCTAGTGCAATAAGGTGGACATGTGCCATTTCCCCAAATGTGCCAAAAATAGTATATTTGCATATTTTAAAACCAGACCACTAAAATAGACATACTGTGATAAAGATGTTAAGACCATCTGCTAAAAATGGATTTATTTGAAAAAATCAAATGATCTTATTTAAAACAACGGCACTTGTCCACCTGATTGCATACTCAATTATTTGACTGAAATTTTCAATATATTTATATTGCAATATCTAGATTTGAAATATAGCGAGAACAGTCAGCTCTAGATCTAAATCTTACATAATGACCCTTCTTATCTTTCAATGAAATCGGAACGAACCTTCCAGAGTTTTACCTGCTTGTTTATTTTTCTACTCCTTTTCTGTCACTTGAAATACGGTGGCTGGGCGAGTAAATGGCTACACTCACTAATCAGGTGGTTCGAAGTTCAATTCCGGTGTTTGCTGAGAAAATTACCAGAGATTTTTCAGCCTGGGGTTCTCTTGTCTGTAGTTCAGGACAGCGGCCCTGGCAAGTAGTCATCAGGATGGACGGAGATACAGTATCTGGTTTTATTAAAACTAATAATTTCTCTACATAGGTGGTGTCTTTATTTGCCTGCCTTATTATGGTGTCCATGGCATGGCAAAATGACTATGATAGAAATCTAGAGTTTGTCTGCCCGACGGGTCAGTCTATAAGCCGGATACAGAGTAAACATCACAACCATTACGAAGACAGAGTATGGCAATTCAGTTGTAGCAACAAAGGACGACTTGGCCATTGTAAATGGTTTTGTAAGTTTTATTTCTTTGGTCATGAATAACCGTGAAAATAATTTGCTTTTATCATATTTTTCCTTTAAAAGAAATGATATGGGGTGTATGGCACTTTGACACCAGACTATGTTGTGTCAAACATACGGTGATCTCTGGTACTTTAAAGATGTGGAGCTAGTATCTATCTTTTAGGTTTTCTTTTACAGATTTAGGGGGTAGTATAGCCCATGATATAGGTATGCTCAATACGGTCATGACTCATACCAGTATCGGCAACTATACGCATGTTTTGAGTTGCAACTACACTAGTTATGCACCATACTCCGTAGGGAAAGAGGAAAGGTCACAGTTTCTGTCTGATATACTGCATTGCAGCTAGAACATCTCTTACGCACGACCACTACGGGTGATTGATTTCCCCTTTACGTTGACACGGCTTGCGCCATGGTACTTCAGTTTGGATCACTCCAATTACGCACGATAGCTCCCAATGGACATGGCCGGTCTGAGTTAAGCCACATGAAAATATTGCTGGGATATGTATGTTCTCCGAAATGGCCACTGATCAGGCCAATGAACAGAACGCGCTGTGAGATTTGATGGGGGGGGGCTTTATAATTGCGTCAAGTAAGTATAAACAAATATCTTACTTGTATAACCTGGATATATACCAATTTTGGCAATTTAGCAATCCCAATGTGCATGGGATCCAAAAGGACTAACCATTGTGTTTACAAGGGTTAATGGCACGTGTTTTCATTTGCTTTCCCCAGCCTTTCAAAGACAGAAAGGACCTATTAAAATAGACTCCGTTGCATGATTTCTAGTTAGAATGTTGCAACCTGGCGTAGGCGCGCATTAAGTTGGTGTCTTGGATGAGCAGAAAATAGCAAATTGGTTGGGAAAACGATAACCCTGCTTCTGAATCCCGTGAATCTCTTGATTGAACTCCATGATGAGCATTTTTTGTTTAGTTGAATGGCCGATATTTTTGGCCAATGCTTCTAATCGAGAAATAATTTTCAAAGTAACTTGTTTGTGAATGTCGTTACGAAGTCCGGTAATCAGCATTTGGCAGCTGTTTATGAGGTGAATGTCTTTACTGATCAGCATTTTCCGTTTAGACTAAGCAGAGGATAGAAATTGAATTGCCTAAGCTTGAGAACACGATAAATCTGCTCCTGACTTACGACACGAATCTCATGACTAAGCTCGATTATGACCATTTTCAGTTTAGATTATGCAGTGATAAACAGTTGGATTGGTCGAGATCTGGGACACAAAAACAACTCTGCTTCTAATAGAATGCAAACACTGTTTATGAATGTCGTTACGAAGTTCGGTAATAGGCATTTTATAGATGTTCATTAGGTGATTGTCTTTACTAATCGGCGTTTTCCACTAAAACTAAGCAGAGGTTATTACATTGAGTTGTCTATGTTTTGGAACAGGATAACCCTGTTTACACCAAGGTCAATATGAACATTTTCTGCGCAGATTAAGCATAGTGATGATCATTCACTGCGCAGGTTAAGCACATGGTGATAGACAATTTCATTGCTAGATGCTTCATGAAACGATAAATATGCCATATATTTGTGGTATTGGGGCTTACTGTTGGTTTGGTTTGTAGTATTTCTTTTATTTATTTAAGATAATGTGAATGAATATGACGGTGTACTGTTTTTCCAATGTCCCAACTTTGGACATATTGTTGCTACCAGAAGCCACCACGACAATCATCGCGAAGACAGAAGATTTAGTTTTAAATGTTGCGCCCCAAAGAACGGTTAGTATAATGAAATCGACACGGGGTGGAGGCCAAGACAAATTCGGGGTTTAGTGTACACATTGGCATGCATGTAAAATAACCCTTGAGATTTTGAAACCGAGTAGCCCTTAGAGCGGCTGCCTGGTCAAATTTTCCCTCACAGCACACTGCATGGTGTATGCCCGGTTTCATTATCCCAGTCGATGCATATACAGAACAACAGGACGCTAAACCCCATTTCATTTCCGTTCACTGCGTATACATAGTTTACAAGTTATTGTATATGTGGATTTCTACAGCACTAAACATCGAAGATAATTAATATTTATTAAGGCTAACATATTGGGAAAGTGATTGACATATAAGGGACGTAACTCTATTGAGTAGAGATCAACTGATCGGTAATGGAATAAGAGAGTATGTTGTCTATGGGATGGGACACTACACAAGTATTTGATGATAATTATAGTGTGTAAGCCATCTTGGGTGTGTTTCGTAATCAAGAAAAACGTAACTCTTATAGGGCTCCTTCTTGTGTCCCACAATGAACTTTTCTACCAAGTATTAAAATATCCTATCAATAACTTTGTCCGATATGGCTATCCCAAAATATGACCGGAGAGGTAACTTTGACATCCCAGTATTTTGAAATTAGAAACGGTTTTCTTTTTTTTTATTGAAATAAACAATGCCAATGAAATTTTAAGTAATTCATTTGAATCTTTTTTCTAGTGTCGCGTTCACTTTTTTTTATTGCATACAATATCTTGTCTACAATTAGATAGACTAGGATTTATTGATGCAGCAGTTTATTTTTTAAAAAGCAAAACCGCTTGTTCTGTGTCGCCATCACACGATTTCATAAATCTGAAAGTTAATTTGGGAAAAACCCAGGCAATTGCCGTCGAAATATTTTGAACTCCGATAAGTCTACCAATCCCTACCAATTTGACAACAACACACCCAAATACTTTGATGGTGATAACAAGAGATTATGATGCCGGGTGTAACGCTATGTTCTAAGCCATCCACTTAAAAATGATGATGGGGGTAAAGGGGTGTTACTAAATCGGAACTATTGTGAAAAGTTTGGCTTTTATACATTGTTTCTATAATTCGTCATCATAAATAATATTGTGTGTTATGTTTCACAGACCCCAATGTCATTCTGGTTGTATACATTAAACATACATTATGCAAGAGCTAAATCTGCCTACTGCGGGTCTTTCTTTAGGCCTGAAATGTTATCTAAATTATTAATTAGACATTAATTAACTGATCCAGACCATAATCAACTCTCGATGTCAACGCTAGTCTGCCATATTTACTGTATTACAATCAGACTTGCTGCTCAACTTTCATTCATGATTTAATCATGAAATGGATAATCGACACTATGTTTTATTGTACCGACTTTAGTAATGATGATCGAGGCTAGGCCGAAAATTCAATCGCTGAAATCTCGGGTCAGTGTGGATCAATTTGACTAAAATTTTCCAGAAAATTCCCATAACATTATCTAATTTTTAGCTATTATCGTGAGAACTGCCAGCTCTTTGTCCAATCTCTCATAATGTATCTTTAAATATTAAAGCGTGACTATATAGTTTTACTGTAAACATACAGTACAGGCTTATAGAATATTAAAACTAATTTAAGACATTTTAAAAGGTACAGGCCCATGGTAAACGGTTTCTTGTTTGAACGTTTTTTTTCTAATTCACAGGGCATATTTATTGGGTTTAAGGAAATAAGAAATGGGTTTTAAGAAGACCGTTGTTGATATTCCGAATCATTCGATTGCAAATCGCCCATTTAGCACCGCCACTCATGTACGGCCAAAGTTGTCGGGATAAACGAAACATACCCGACGAGTCCACAATTACTTTCTTTATTATTTCCGGTGAGCGAGGATGTGGGAGGCGATCGTCAAATTGACACAAACTTGGTCAATCGGGACTAACATATGGTTCAATTTGATTTCAATATTTCGTTTGCGTTTAGAGGTCTTGAGCGATAGTATTATTGTCAAGAGTTCTTAACGGGTGTGCATTTACATTTGATCATCAATCGTAAATATTGAAATAATAGATATCGGCGGACTAGTGAGCATTCCCCCTGGATATAACACCATGTTCTAAGCTACCCAATTAAAATGAAGATTGTTCAGCTATTAATAACAGATGCAGCGTTCAACATATTTAAACCAAACATTCAAAATATGGTGTTTATGCAAATGAATTCCAAAACAGTTTCAGGGAAAAGCACAGAATGCCGGTTTACTAACTATGTAAACACATTTGATGGTAGAATGGACTATACAGTACCCACCAATAAATATCTACGCGGGGCCTACAGTGAACATAGAAATCAACAAGAGTGAGTATATTAAACATGTTTATAGTTATTTAAATTATCGAAAAAACGAATTGCATGATATTAAGGGCAAATGGACCACTTGAGATACAGAAACAAAAAAATCAAAAAAAACAAAACAACATAATTCCAGTGAGACAAGCAAAAGGCCAGTACACCTAACAGTGGACTGTCTCTAGTCGACTTGATTAATTTAAACTTCTAACTTAGTTTCAAGCTGGAGCATTGGGCTGCGTGTCAAAATTGTCCCACTCAAATTATTTGAATTCATTTAGTGCTATTAATATTTTTAATATGATTTATATTTGCTTCGGTTGCAGAGATAGGATCTGGAGATTTGAGGAATGTAACCGGTAATCTGTATGGCAGAATTATATACTGACTGAACTATAAATATAAACTGCAGAAGATAATGACTGAACTTTAAAAATAAACAGTCTCTCGCATACGATGATCATGTAGTTCAAGTTTTATTTAAATGTTTAGTGTATTCACCGAGTCCGTCATCCGGCAACAAGTTTTCTATTTGACGCGCAGTAAATATATTAATGAACAATAATTACTTGAATCTTAATGCTAGAAAATGTGCAGTAATAGCCAAGCTGATTAAATCAGTCAATTACGATTCCATTACATTTTCGATGTTCTACGGCATGAGTGTCTTCACGTAGACATGTTTGCTATCTGCCCAAATTTGCACGGACGGACAAGGGCGTCGACATAATACGTCCACATGAAAATGTGGGCTATAAAATACTAACAAAAGGTATATATTATAACCATTCCCCTGTATATTTTTAATAACGACGCTAAGTTAGCGACAGTTGGCCCCAGCTTATTTTATCCATTTTGGGTCAAAAAGTCAATAAAAGTTACCAACAGGAAAAGAGGGGGTCTAAGTAGAAGGAACTACGCTTTTGGGTTCTGGGTCGAAATGGATTGTTTTGTGTGACCTGCCATTCTGGGTTGCCTGGCCATATTCTGACAACAATATGCAACATTTAGCTTCAACTTAGAAAACAGAATATTTAATTTAAGGAGCTGGGCAGTGGAAAATCCCTTTTCTACATATCAGCTAAAATACACCGTGAACGAGTGGTGAACAACTAAATTGGTATCTAGTCTTCTTGTATAACCAGCCAATTTTTCCGACAACACCACTACTGAATATAATACAATGCCGTCTTGTCCCAGACACTATGATCATACCATGCCACAACGTCTACTGGGAACTTCACATCGCCTTCATATAATTATGAGTAAAATGGGTATCATTTGTCAATTTGTACCTGATCACTCTCTGATTCCTGATATTTCCTCAGAGATAATCATGAAATCTCGATGATTTCAAGAGATCCTTAGTTACGCCGGTAGTAATCAGTCGTTATCCTCACATAAATGGACACATAAAATCCATATATCTCTCCGGAGGACAACCATGGTAATATTCTAACCATTGTTCCGAATCGCTTATTACTAATTCTAACAAATTCCATGGAATAGAATATTACATAATTCATTGCATGACAAACTAGCTTTGCGTGTTAATGCTGCCAGGATTTTAAAACATCCAAGATTAAACTGGGTTTTCAGGATAAAAGCAAGCATTTAATATCCAATACGACTAACATTATTTCCTCAAGGTATAAATCTATTTTGTAAAATGTCAACATTTAATGTGGATTTATGTTACACATATTAAACTTTTATCTTTCATAATATACTCTGGTAAAATAATTTACAATATATAGGAATACTGTAAGATTTTGAGTTGAAAAATGAAAGAGGTCTTAAAGCTATATACCTTTCGATGCTCTATCTTCATCTGCATGGCTACATACAGTTAGGATCATCTGAAAGTAGAAATGTGATAATGCCAATCTGGTTAAAACACAGATCCTATTTCGTTTCGTTTTTATAGTTCAAAATTTCGTTTTACTTGTCTTTACTACACTTGGCTTCATGTAGTGTAGGCCATCGAAAGTATAAAAAAATACGAAACGAAATATAGATCTGTATTTTAATCAGATTGTGATAATGCAATCGTTTAGTTCTCTCAATTGCTCACCCGTCTCAAACCTACGAGACGAATAGAGCCTTTCATTTGGGTCCTCTTGCAAGTTTCCCAGGAAACACTTGTCTGCCATATCACGCTAGGTGGAGAGAGAGAGAAAAATGGGATTTAACATCCACTCGACACAAACTAGATCATTTCGGGACTTACATATGGTTTAATTTTATTTCAATAATTCGCTTGTGCGTAGGGGTCTTTAGCAGTGGGAGGACCCAGAGAAAACCCACGAGGTTGGACAGGCAACCCTACTCCTTGTCACTACAAACGGGGAATCAAAATCACGCCTGTTGACTCAATGACTGACCTTATGATACAGTGCGCACCATTCGCCCCCCCCCCCGCACCCAACCCACCGTAGGTGGAGAGAGAGGAATGGGGTTTAACGTCCACTCGACACAAACTAGGTCATTTCGGGACCAACATATGGTTTAATTTTATTTCAATAATTCGCTTAGGGGTCTTTAGCAGTGGGAGGAAACCGGAGTCCCCGGAGAAAACCCACGAGGTTGGACAGGCGACCCTACTCCTTGTCACGTACAACCGGGGATTCGAAACCACGCCACTCGACTCAAT